CTCGCTGACAAAACTCACCTTGCCGTGCGTCTCAAAAAGGAGCTCCAATCGATTGTGAACTGGGGTATGAATTGGCTGGTCAACTTCAACGCTTCGAAGACAAAACTGCTCTCTATTAATCACCACAGAGAGCCTTCCCTTCCCTCCATTAGAATGTCTGACGCTCAACTTCTCGAGAGCAACTCTCTGCGGCTTCTCGGTCTCACGTTGACTGCTGACCTGAGATGGAATAATTACATCGAGTCATTTGCCTCGTCCACTGCGAGGAAAGTTGGCTCCCTGAGCCGCGCTAGGAAGTTTTTCTCCCCTGAGTCGATCCTCCAGATATACAAATCCACAATTCTCCCTTGCATGGAGTATTGCTGCCATATATGGACTGGCGCCCCTTCTGTTTGCCTCGGGGTTCTTGATAGGCTCCAGAAGCGGATATGCAATATGGTTGGCCTTGCCCTGCCCTGGCGTCTCGTCTACAGTCACTTTCTCACAGACGCGCCGTCGCCTCCCTCTGACTGTTCTACAAATACTTTCATGGAAATTGCTCCGAGGAGCTGCATTCGCTGGTTCCCAGACGTCACGAGTTCCAGCGCCCTACGAGGCTGGCATCCCGCTCTCACCCCTTCACTGTCGAAAATCCTAAATGTAGCCGTCTCTTCTACTCTAATAGCTTCATGTCTCGCACCTCTCGCCTGTGGAACTCCCTTCCCTATTCCTGTTTCCCTGTGAGCTATAATCTCCAGCTATTCAAGTGTAATGTCAATCGACATCTCCAGTTGCCTTAATCTATCTACTACCCTCATCCTTTCTTCTATCACTCCTATCTGATCTTGCTATTTTCTGTAACCCCTTGCGTCCTTGCTTGGGGTGAAATGCTTGAAAAAAAAAATTTAAATCGGCTTCACGCCAAAAAAAGTAAAGCCACTAAGGTACAAGAGATTACTAGTGTGGAAAATTTAGAAATGAGAAACTTTACTAAGGAGCAAGAACAAAAGAAGAGTAATCAGGAGGACGGTAGAAAGCGATTGACATTGCATTTCAATTTTTGAAGATTTTGTTATGAAAACACACCAACGAGTGCGCATGATCGTCTCGTCAGTGATGTTATGACTTGGGGTCATGACAAGTTTCAGGTCTTGCAACATCATACTTGTTCATCCAAGAGACCCTACCGAAACAGTACTATTCCGGCAGGCGATCCTGAACCAAAAAATTCCTCTAAACACGCAACAAATGGACACATTAAGTAACATAAAAGTTGTCTGGAAAGCATGGGACCGGAAGAGAATTCCACAAGCGAGAGAAGAAACTGTTAGCATAGAACCTACGGTTACATCTAGCCAAATCAACTGTAAATTGGTGAAACTTCGTCGCCATTCTAGTAGTGAAAAAAAAAATCTAAGTAGCAAGAGCTCACCCGAACATTTGCCCTGAAAGTATTTATAGAAACGGCACAGGGACCTATTTTTTTTTATTGCTGTCATTCTTTGAAGAAACACATTACCTTGAAATATATGAAATGCCGACCAGAATTAAATAGCCTTTCATTTTCTTTCTGATAAGCTTTCTTCTGAAGTTGTGGAGAAATGATTGTGTGAGAGGAAACAATAGTCATCTGCGCCTTGAAACATCCACAAGACATGCAGGCTTTGTTATAACATTGAAGCTTTTTGGTTGGTGAGGGGTTTTTTGGCAAGAGGTGATCGTATGGTTATTGCTTTAGCCTTATGCCTAAAAAAAAAAAATTGCTGAAAGGTTTCATGTTTTAGTGCTGTCAGTGACGTGCGGTCGCTGACCCAGTGCGTGTGTGAGTCTACCTTCAGCATACGGCCACTTCAATTAATCAGTGATTAAAACAAACACTAACGTGTCCACTTGCAGGTAGCTTAAGTTACACGTTGTCCTATGGCTTGGCGACTGCTTGTTGGCCAGCCGCTTATGGGAACACTGAGCCAACGACTAAATTGAACACATTCGCCTTTTGTGATTGCTTGCTTGGTTTTTCATTATTTTCTTTCCATTATTATTATTGCACGTTCATATCGTGTGGCCAGCGTAGAGGATGAAGTAACAGCAAGTCAAATCATATCGCCTTTTTAGAATACGTATATATCTCAATGATATGAACTGTATAGTCTCAATTATATTATTATTATTATTATTATTATTATTATTGAGTGAGGGGGAAGATAAGTTGATTTATTTTTTTTACGGTTTATCAACCTTTTGTGGGTTATTTAAAGCCGAAACATATTTTGAATTGTAAGAATAATTCTTTTTTACGACTGAATATTATATTAAATTTATTTTGAGAATAACAATGATTTTTTTTCAGATACGAGTCCTACTATTTAGAGAATGGCTGATGGGGGTAATATATGAACTAAGATCTTGCCCAAAAGTATTTGCTTGTAAGTGAATATAACGAACTTTGAGTAAGAGAGTAGGACGCCAACAAAATGAGGTAGGAATATAAATAGACTAAGACCAATATGCACACCACGTGACCTGGTCTGATAAGGGTATACTAGGCACGTTATATTATTATTATTATTATTATTATTATTATTATTATATGATAATTGTGTTTGTTCGACACTTCGTTAGTTCGTACGGCCGTTACCCCCTACCAATGTCTCATAAATGAATAACTATTCTGCTTTGATTACGTGAAAAGACAAGACATATCAGAAACGCTGCTTGGTTTCAGTGAAAAAAAAGAAAGAAAGGAGTGTTTAATGTTTCCTGATAATACCTCATAAATAATGGGCTATTTCCGTTTTGATCGCGTGAGAATACTAAAGACATCAAATACGCTACTTGTTTAAAGTGAGAAAATGAAAGAAAAAAAGGGAAAATAGAAGTGTTTAACGTCTGCTTCAGTGAAATGGAAAAAGGTGTCAATTTCAAATCTTTTCATTTGTACCCCCTTATTTCTTAAAATAACGACCAGCACTCATATTTATGATTGTTATTGCAATATGTTGTTAAAGTTGTTAAGCTCAAATATTTAACGATGCGATAGGGGAATTCCTACGGATATTTTATTGTCGTAGCTTATTAAATCATTATCTGAAGAATTAAGATCCATCAGAAATTTAAAATAGAAAAACCGTGAAATTTTCACGGGTTCTTCTAGTGCCTAACAATATCTGTTTCGATTGGGATAATGTTCCACTAGAAATAATAAAATTCCGCTATGTGTGATTTAGATCAAAATTAACTTTCTGTAAAAAATGGTACACGTTCAATCATTTTCGTAGGCGATCACGGCTCTCAACTTTCCCCTATCTCTTGTAGCTCGCAATATGTTTTGTCCTTTTGCTACTTCCCACAAAACCCTGTTCTACAATCCACGTTGCTTTCCCTTGTCTCTCTTTCCCTCTATCCGCTCTGTGAGTATCAGATTCTCCAAGCCCGCTTTTCTTATTTCAGCTTCCTCTTTCTCCTTGCTTGCATCCTCTCCAAAACTTCATTGTTTCTCACGTGTCCGGTCCATGGTATTCTTAGCATCTTACTGTCGAACCATACCTCCGTTGCCTCGAGTCTCTTCTTCATCTTTGAGGAGACCGTTCAACATTCTCTGCCATAAAGGAGTACATATATCACGTAGTAGTTTTGTACACTTTTCTTTGTTTACAAGCGAAATCCTCCTGTCTCGTAATACTCTGTCTAGATTTTGGAATGCGTCTTTAGTCATCCCAATACGTCTTCGGATCTCTACGTCCAACATACCGTCTCCTGTCAGAACACTTCCCAGATATTTAAATTTCCGCACCTACTTGATTTTAGTGTCCCCGACCTGCAAATCGCATTTCGAGCTCATCTTGTTTCTCATGACAATGCATTCTGTCTTCTTGTAGTTTATACTAGGTCCCTTCTCGCTCTCTTTCACTACCTTCTGTAGAAGGTTTTATAATTTCTTTTCCGTGTCTGCTATGAGCACTGTATCATCTGCGTATCTTAAGTTAAGGTTGTGGCGGCTAATGATGAATCCTGGTAGGATTTCCAATTCTCTCAGCTGTATAAGTCCGGTGAGAAGACACATCCTTGCCTTACGTTCCTTTCTATTTTTGTATATATGCTCAATTCATTTTCTATCTGCATGATAGCCGTTTGCTGCCAGTATAGGTTCTTTATTATTCTAATATCTTTCCCTAATATATCAAGATTGCCGAGCAGTTCCAACAGATCTTTGTGGCGTACTTTGTCGAACGCCTTTGCGTAGTCTATAAAACATAAGTGCACGCCCTTCTGCCTTTGTATTGCTCTTTCGGGTCATATAACCTGAACATGAATATCACGTTCCTTGTTCCGGTGTCTTTAACGAACCCGTATTCTTCTTGTTCTGTCTCTGGCCTCATTCAACTGCGCGCTCTATTCATCAGACGAAGCTCAATATTTCCATAATGACAGCCAGTCTGGTAAGGGGTATAACAAGCTCTTTTTTATTATTAATACCGAGAAAAACAGAAGAATGCTAGTAAAGTGAGCTTGCAGGTGGGTCATTATTAAAAATATCTTCAGACCGACTAAACTAGTCCACTTACACGGTCTCTCATCGAGGTTGCTCTCAAGCATCTAGGTGTAACTCTCAAGTACCCTTGGCTGCCTCATCGTTCAAGCTAGAAAAAGCGTTACTCTTGACACTCGACCACGTTGTTCCCGCACTCTTCTCACTCATATACTGTGTTACTCTGAGCGTCAGACACTCAGGGACATGTCCATTTGGTTGTTTTTGTTTAACGGCATATCAACACCTGTATGGGTTATTTAATGCCGAAATCTAAATATTTTGTACGCAATTTCTATTTTATTTTATTTTCGAGATAATAATGATTTAGTGATACATGGATTACTAATTAACCCATAGCTGGGGGAAGAAGTGGATTTATACCTTTCCCCAATGCGCGTAAGTGAATATAACGAACACAACGGGAATTGGAACTCGGCTCTCTGATTAACAATCCCGAGTCATTATCCATTACACCACACACACATCCAAGCATACAGCATCTGATATTCCTAAGTAGTCGCCCATATGGGTACTGACCAGGTTCAACGTTGCTTAACTTCGTTGATCGTACGGGAACCGGTGTTTTAGCGTGATGTAGACGTAAGCTCATGCCCAATTGGTTACGGTCAGGCAACTGACCAGCAAATCTGTGGTACTGTAGCCCATCTTAATTCTCCACGACAAAAACTTTACATGTTTATATCACCAATCAGTTATGATCAGAAGCTATGAGAGACCAACGTGGTGTAGATGATTATTATTATCCTCTCTTCCGCATGGTTTTTCGTTTTCCACCCGAAATCTTGCATTATGGGTATTCTCCATCAACTCTTATGACCTCAAGTAGATAGCACATTACTTAGAATATGTGCAGTACAACGGAGACTTCTGAAACGATCGGTAACTATGCTTTATTCCAATTTACTTAATGTCGATCTTTATATGTGGTTGTATAGACCCCAGTGTCCTAATGATAACAATCCCGAGACCAGTGAACTTTTTAAGCTTTTCAATTTCTTTGAAATTTTACGGTCACCAGGAATAGCCACATTGATGAGGAGGCATTTTTTTTCCAACGACGGTTATGTCTGGTTTGAGGGCCTCAAGGATGCGGTCTGTTTGAATGTTGAAATCTCATGAGATCTTCACTTGGCCGTTTTCGATTACCACCATCAATCAGAGAAGGTGAATGAAAACGATTTTATGGGATGTCAACATCTGAACAGACCGCATCCTTGAGGCCTCCGAACCAGACATCACCAAAGTTGAAATATTATTATCATTATTTTACTGAGTGTGAGAGAATATGAGAAAAATAAGACACTATCAAGGGGAGAGAACAATAAAAGAACAAGAATTAAGAAGACAAAAGGCAACGATTGACATTGCATTTACATCTTTGAAGATCAAAGTTAACTGGGAAACAAGAAGCCGGAAGAGACTTCTACAAGCGAGAAGTATAAGAGAAGAAACTGTAAGCATAAAACATACGATTACGTCTAGAAACTCCAAATGTAAAATGATAAGACCTAGCTGCCAATCCAGTACTGCGCTTAAATGCGTAAAGTCGAGGTACCGAAAGGAAAAGTAATATTTATTTTGTGTAAAATACAAAAATGTGGCACAAGGCCAAAAATGGGGGATGGGTAAAGCCAGCCTTCATCTGCCTTATAATTAAACTTAGCTAGCCACAATTACTGACCCAAATATACCACAGTTACTTTACGCCAATACAACACATTGTTACTTACCATTCTTACTACAGCCACCACAATACCTCTGAGTCTCTACTGAATAGGAAAGTTCATCAGTTTGCCATGAAAATAGTTATAGAAAAGTCAGAGGGACGCTGCATTACAGTGGTTGGAAATCGACTGAAGCCGAGATGCCAGGTCAAGACCAATAACATTAAATGAGTAGATGAACAGTTCTACAGAGTGCAATTTTATAAAAGTTCTCTTGTAATCAAAGGCTACCAGAGATGTTGTTAATATTATTTGACAATATTTTTTATCATACTCAAGGCTCCAATAATAACAGTAGTTTGAAGGGGCCATCTTTTTCAGTTAGTTACTTATTTTGTCATATTCTTAAATATATTTTTATCTGATGTCGCTATAATATCTATGAAACAGTACTATTTGTTTGTATGCTTTAATAACATTATCTGGTCTATTAGCTTTTATATGTCAGTATGAATGGTCCTAAAAGTGATCGAGAATATTGACTTTCTTTGACTGTGAGTTATGTTCATACCATTTTCAGCAGGTGGTGCACTGTAATACTTCTCTATCAGTAAATATACTGCATTCTTTGTATCCCTTCGGTGTTAGGATTGAACACCCAGGAACTAAGTAATCAGTAGTCTCAATATGTTGTTCACATAATCTACATATTAAGTATGTACAATTCTTTATTATATTTACTTGGTAATTCCTGGTAAATAGACTTTGATCTTGTGCAGCCGTTATAAATGCCTCCGTCTCTACTTTTAACACTGAGTTCTTCAACCACTGATGGCTTTTGTTTGTCTGCATCGTTAATTCTAATTGCATATTGGCTATGTAGGGTTGTTTTTTAATTGTTTAACCCTTTTTAAAAAATGATTTCATTTGCATTTGTTGGTTGAGTATTTTCATCTATTTCCTTCACAATGAAGTTGTGTTCCTTAAAGATTTTTGTTTTCTTTATAAATGGGCTATTTTTTAAAAGTTTTCGCTTTATTATTATCATTATTATTATTATTATTATTATTATTATTATTATTATTATTATTAATAATAATAATTTTTTGTCATTTTCGAGAGCTGATGTTTAAGCAAAGATGAAAGCAAGTATCAGATATGGAGTTTACAATTCCGCTTCATTCGTTTTTTTTTGCTTTCGTTTTTCTCAGATATCATAGATTGACTTCGACACTATCGTAACATTCAGTCTTGAATAAACAACATAAACTTACCTGTCACTTTATTGGATATATTCTTATATTAGGTATAGAACTGGTTTGGGCCACCTTTAATATTTAGAACAGCCCCAATTCTTCTTGGCATGGATTCGACGATGTTCTGTAAGGACTCTCGAAATTTGGATCCATGCTTTTATTATGGCATCTCACAATCCTTTTAGATTTTTTGGCTTCAAATCCAGGATTCGAATCTCCTTTTCCACCACATCCCGAAGGCGCTCTATAGGAATGGGTTCCAGCGACACTGGATGCCACACAGAAGCAGTCTGCAATTATTATTACTTTTTTTTAATGACATGGTACGTTATCCTGCTGGAAGTGGACATCAGAGGATGGTGTGCTGTAGTCATAAATTTAGGCATTCTGTTAACAACAATACCCAGGTAGGCTGTGACATTTAAACGATCTTTTATTGATATCAAGGTTCCCAATGTACGTCAAGAAAATGCCATATCATTGCACCACTCCCACAAGCTTTAACTTTTCATGCAAGCTAAATTATAGTCCTATCATCCAAATATCGCAGCAGAAATCGAGACTATTCAAACCAGGCAACGTTTTCCTAATCTTCTGTTGTCCAATTGACATGATTTTTATCGAATTGTTTTTTCTTATCTGACAGCAGTGTCCCACGGCCTGATCTTCTGCTGCTGTAGCCCATCTGCTTCAAGGTTTGACGAGCTGCGCATTTTCCAGTATACTTTCGTTTTCGTCTACAGAATTTCTACTCAATGGAATTTTTTTCTTCTGATAATTCTCCGTCAATCCATTGTGGTTGTCTGTTAAAATTCTACTAAATCAGCATTCTTAAAAAAAGTAATCATACCACTTTGTCTAGTACCAACGTCCATGCTGCATTCAGCGTTCAAATAACTTTTTCTTTTCTCATTTTTCCCATACTAATGCATGAAATGGAATTCAGCAAGTCGCCATAACCATGTTTAAATGTCGGTTTCCATTAAATTGCTGCTATGTCATTTGCTGATTAAAAAAAACTGCATTAAATAGCATTTGTTCCCGTGTACTTAATTAAGTGACCAGTGTTTTTTTAATTTTTTTTTTTTAATCTCTATTGCTTTTAAATATTTCACATTGCAATAGCAGTAGTTTATTTTTCTGGAAAGGAGATATGCTGTATGATACAGAATGTAAATTGACTCTGGAAAATTCGGAAATTAGTGCACTTTCAAGACATCTTCACCCTAATAAATTATTATTATTATTCTCCTCCATTTTTTATATTTTAAGCAAGTAAGGCCGGAGTGCCATTAGCACGCAAGTGGTTACATAGAGTGGGAGTGAAATTTGCAAGGGTTTAAAGGAAGGAAATAAATTCATATTATGAAGATATGTTGCAAATATAATGGTTAAACCTAGACTTGAAGAGAGCAGAGAAGAATTCTCTAGGGAGCCAGTTCCAGAAAGTGTGTTACTTTCTGGAACTGGCTCCCTAGAGAATTCTGGAGGAGAAGCTGTCTGAGTGGAACGTCCTCCTTGATAGAATACGAAGGGAATGTGGATGAATCGATACTGTGTACGTAGCATGACGAGTTCTAGCTGTGGGGGTTTGGACCAGTGGAATTCAGGAAAGTCATCGTTTGAACATTTTGCCATGGAAATATCGATAGAGTAGCGGAAGCGTTAGCAACGCGGAAAAGGGGTTATAGGGTGAAAAATAACTTCTCACCTATAAGGTTGCGCAGACGATTTTGAACTCTGTCAAAACTGTATAGTCGGTATTGGGTTCGCTCCAGCCCATCAATACTCTATTTTTGATTCGATCTGGCTCTTGTAAAGATAGAGCATGTCAGAAGGAGTCAGATCCTTTCTGGAGCGGTTCAAGAAACCGACCATGTTCCCTGCATCTTTAGCGATGTTTCATATATACAAGTTCCACTTGACGTATGAGGTTAGCTTTAATCCTATTAGACGTTCAAGGCAGGGAGCCGAATTGTGAGTGCAGTCGTTCACTCTCTCTTTATGTCCTGTGTCTCCTTAGGATGTAGAAGATCATGGCTCTCTACATTTTCCCTTTTGGCTTCAATCTGTTCTGTGAGTATCAAATTTTTCAAGCCGTCTTTCCTCATTATGTGCCTCAGAAATTTCAACTGTCTCTTCTTGATGTTAAGTGCAAGTTTCCTTTTTGTTTCCTTTTTCTCTAAAACGTCGTTGTTGCTAATATGTTTGGTCCGTGGTATCCTCAACATCCTTCTGTAGAACCATTTTTCTGTTGCTTCAAGTTTTTTCATCATCTTTGAGAAAATTGTCTAGTATCCACTGCCATACAGTAGGTCAGATATCACGTAACATTTCGGTACACTTTTCTTTGTTTCTAACGAAGTTTTTCTATCTCTAAATACTTTGCTTATTTTTTGGAATTCATCTTTGGCTATCCCAATACGTCTTCGGATTTCAGTGTCGCATTTTCCGCCCTCTGTTAGGGTTAGAATAGGGTGAGGTACAAATGGGAAAAATTATGAAGAATAAAACAGAAAACATCTTACTTGTATTAGATGAAAATGAAAATAATACATGTTTGTTTTTAAGTTTAATTTATAAATTACTAGCAGTAGAGCCCAGCGTTGCCCGGTGATGTAACAGTAAGAGATAGATCAAGTATCGACC